CTTTTTTGGGAATGGACATAAACACGTTCTTCCAGTCAGTTGGTCAGGGAAATACGTTTTTTTTGGGAAACCTTTCAATGTGCATTGTCAATCCTTTGAGTTCTGTTTTATCCTAATGCCTTCAGTTAATGATTAATCGTACACAACAACAAAGAAAGGCGCTCTGGTGGTGAAGTAGGTGAAGCATTGGGTTATTAATCACAAGGTCAGAAGTTGGAACCCACCAGATGTTCCATGAGAGAAAGCTGAGCTTTCTTTTCTTGTGAAGAGTTATCGCTCGGAAACCCTCAGTGGGGGCAATGCTGCTGTGCGACAGGGCTGGTCACTAGGAGTCAGAATCGCTTCGATGGCAGCACGCTGGCTGGGTCCAACAGCAAAGAAATTTGCAAGTTTCATAAAATGCACTTCAAAATGTTTTTCTAATTTAGCTAATTCAGCAAAGTTAATAAATATTCTAAAAGGCAAATAGCCAAAGCAAATGTGAAAATGGGAGCTGCAAGCATCTATTTTTCTTGCTAAAGAAAGGTGAAGATACAAAAGATTCAACGCTATCTAACACAAAGCAATGAATATATTTACCATTATGGTGGAAGCGATAACAAAGATTTTTTCTAAAAACAACCGTCTTAGTAAGGTGATCTTACTTAGGAAGTAAGATATTATTACTACTTTTCAGAGAAATTAACCAAAATTCTTACAACGAAGATAGAATAAACTTACTCCTTAAATGCCAATTAAGGCAACATTAGAAATAGGAAAATAATTTGTGTGTGTGCATATTTCTATTTTTCACTCTAGGGTAGAAATGAAATAAAATTTCTTGATAGAAATCAGCCAACAAGCAATAAATAATATCCCAATCTTTGGAATTTCAAAAATATCAAGTATTAAAATATTTTACTTCTCTCAGCTTATTTTTTATTGCTACCATCTGAAGTGGGAAAGGTAATGGCCACCTATTGTTAATGATTGATATATAAATTATATCTCAAGCAGTAGTGAGATTCTGTACTATAGCTGAGAGGAAGAAGGGGGAACAATCAAAGTGAGTCCAACTGGAGGGAAAAACCCAAACACTGCTAGAGGTCTAAATTCTAAAAATTCAAAGTGACCAAAAAACAGACTGTTAAAGAGTAAAAATTCACTTATCAAAAGCCATAGAGATTGATCTTTGCGCCTTTGTGAAGAGTCACTTACTTCATGCTTCTAGAAATCTCTATCCCTAAGGTTCTCTTTATGGTTTTGACTTTGTTAACAAATATGGTAACTCTACTGACAACCAAATCGCTAAGTATAAATGTGCTGCATTGATTTCCCATCTGCAAACAGAATGAGTTTATTTTCCATTTGCAGACTAAGCCAGACTTGGGAGATCACAGGTGAAACAAGAATAGGTTTTGCTACATTGTTTTTTGTTTGCTTGTCACTGAATAAGTTAAAAAAAAAAAATTCAATACTAGGAAAAACCCATCTAAATGCCTCTTCTTTGGGCAACAAAGGAGGGGTTGGTAAGCCAAGACAAACAGCATATCAGAGAAGAGGGAGTATAAAAATGTGCTTAGACACATTGCCAACCTTTGTGTTTCAGACTAAAGCAACTAAGAAAACTATTAAGGAGAAAAGTGGCAATGTCCCTAAGAAAACACCCACACTTCCTTGCATTCTACATTTACAACCTAGCCAGGAACGTGTTCTGGCAAGTCGATACAGACGGAAAAACCAATTCTCAAGTTCACTTTTGAAATGGAAACTGGCAGAATATCATTGTTTCAAAGCTATATAATGTAGTTTGATCCTATTAATTTAATAAAGTTAATTTAATTTAATCTTTAAAAATGTTTGTTCAATTTATTTTAATTATCTCAAGTATTTTGATGAATGTGTATCACAATCTGCTGGGCAGTGCATAATAAGGAAAAAGGTTTTGAAATCTCTTTTTGATGTTAGGGACCAGCAAGAGGGTTCTGACACCACGGCCCTATGTACAGCAGACTGGAACCAGGCCTGGTTCGGAACCAGCCTAACAATGAGTCTTACGTTTGAGTCCGTTGTTGTAGCGACTATGTCCATCCATCTTGTCAACGATTGTCCTTTTTTTCACTACCCTTCTACTTTGCCAAGCATGAGGCCCATTTCCAGACCACATTTCTAAAAGGGAGATGAAGCCTTGCCACCCTTGCTCCCAAGGAGCCTTTGCCTGTACATACAAGATAGATTTATTTGTTCATTCATCACTGCCTGGTGCTTCTGATATTCTTCATCAGTACCTGGATTCAAATGCACTGTTCTTCAGTTCTTCCTTACTCAATGTCCAACTTTCACATGCTTATGGGACAAATGAAAATACCGTGGCTTGGGTTGGACACATCTTAGTCCTCAAAGAAACATCCTTGCTTTTCAACACTTTAAAAGGTCTTGTGCAGCAAATACACCCAATGCAATGAGTCCTTTGAGCTGTTCACTGCCACTTCCCGGAGCACTGATTGTGGATCCAAGCAAGACAAATCCTTGGCAAGCATTTCTCCATTTATCATGATGTTACCTACTGGTCCAGTGTGAAGGGTTAAAGTTTATGGATTGGGACAGGGAATTCAGTGAATTCCCCTTTGATAAGGATTAGTGAGGCTTAATCATGGAAGATGTTGTTCTACCTGCACCATTTAGATTGCCAAGTATGATGGAATCAACAATTTGTCAAATCTGTATTTAAAAAAAGCAAGTATAATACAAATTCATAAATAATTATACACATTTCTTTGACTGGAGGAACAAGTGGTGGTGACAGTGAAGGTGAGCTGTACCTCCCCTTTACAATCTCACTTCTTGATTGTATCACAGAAACACAAATCCACTCTCCAAATAGGAGGCACTATTTCTGCTACCTTTAGAAAAAGGAAACTTTTTCTTTTCCATGTTTTGATTGGATGGAGGGTGGAGGGAAGGTGAGGGAGAAATGGGGAACAGAATACAAGGTCTACATATAACCTCCTCCCTGGGGGACACACAGCGGAGAAGTGGGTGAGGGGAGATGTCAGATGGTGTAAGGTATGGCAAAATAATAATAGTTTATATATTATCAAGGGTATAGGGGGGAAGGGGTGTAGGGCGGGAGGGGAAAAATGAGGAGATGATACCAAGTGTTCAAGTAGAAAGCAGGTATTTTGAGAATGAAGATGGTAACATATGTACAAATGTGCTTGACACAATTGATGTATGTATGGTTTGTGATAAGCATTGTATGAGCCCCTAATAAAATGATAAAAAAATTATATAAGTAACAAACATTTGAATCTTGAATCTTACATGTTTTATTTTTATGAGATTTTAGTTTTCACTGCTACTGTCTGAAGTGTGAAAGGTTATGGTCATCTACTGAAAACAATGGAAAATCTATCATCTAGATCTCAGAAAGTAATGAGATTCGGCACTCTATCTGACACGAAGGAGGAAAGTTATATAAGTAACAAACATTTGAATTTTCTTTTTCATTATTTCCTGTAAGGACTTCTGGCATAATTCTTTACCAAGTAATTTAGTAAGACAGCATCTTTATTAGCTCTTAGCATCTTCATGACCTGACGACGGTTTCTCCTACCCGTGAGTGATGTGCCCTTCATTCGTTCATTCCCTTTTCTGCACTGACCAAGGTGGGTGGATGCCTCCAGGGAGCAACGCTGGCTAGAACAGGAAGCGTGTCCTGCAGCGTGTGCTGCCTAAAACACTGGCCTGCGACCTGCTCCGATTCCCTCCTGGCGGTCCTTGCTCTATGATTTCTGGTTTGGAACACCAGTTTCTTCCTCTCTACTGGTTCTGTGTGTTAATCACACAACCTGCTTACATCTCAAACACTGAAATATGGCAATACCTATCAGGAAACAAGTAAACGGAACGCAAACCTTCCTGGACCAATTTCTCCTCTAGCTATAGGAACCCAGCCTGGCTCACACGCCACCCAGCCCATTCTCCAGAGTGGACAGTGCTGTCATGGAGGCTCTCCCTCGCACGGGGTCATCCCAGCTCCTTTCCTCACGGGACTCCCAGTCCCTGCAATTCTCCCCCTTCAGCCTTTATTTCCGCAACAGTGCCACCCGATCGTTTAGAGAACACAAGTCTGTTTATATCATTTTCTTGCTTACAGTCCTGCAAACACTTCCCATCCTTTTTACAAGAAAACCCAGACTCCTTGACATGAGACTACTCTGATCTACTCATATTGAGCTTAGTTTCTTAACCCACCTTGCCCCACTGCCTGTTCATTCTACACTGCTGGCATTCTGAATCAGTCACTTGGAGTTCTTCTCAGTTACCCTGACTGCACTGCCTCAGCTGTATTCACATGTTGTTTTGATCCCAGGAGCGCCCTGAGCTCGATGTCCTTTCTCAGTAAACTTCTGCTGGTCCTCAAAGCCTTAGTTCAAAAGCCTCCTCCTTTCTAAAACCTTCTCTGATCCTCACATCCCTCCCTGGCTTCATGACTTGGCTCAGTCCGCACCCAGCACCCTGTGTAAGCTTCTGTGAGGAGCACCTGCAGCTTACTTACAATGACGCTTCTGTCATCAGCCCACTTCACAGTGCCGGGCACACAGTCACCCCCAAACCAAACCCACTGTGTGTCACCATTTTAATTCATAATGACCCTTCAGGACTGCGTCTAGCTGTTCCCCGGTGTTTCCAAGAGTGCAAAGCTTTATCGGAACAGACAGCCACATCTTCATCCTGTGGAGGAGTTGGTGGGTGTCAACTAGTGACCTTGCAGCTAGCTACCCAAGTACTATCCTTGAGCCCTGGATAGTAGTGATGAAATCACTTGTTTCATTCTAGAAAGCAGCAACACCTCTAGAAATTTCTCAAAATTAGATAGGTTGTTAAATAGGTTTAGTGTGGCAAGCCTATCGACACATGTATGTATGTGTATACACACATATATGCAATATATATGTGCATACCCATCAGAGCAGATAACAGAACACATATCATATAGACAAAGGAAACATGCCAACCTGGATGTAAAGTTCACACCGCTGGCTTCCTTTCCCGAATTCAAGTCATCCAGGCAGGAGCTTCTACGAGTGAGCAGCCGGCTGATCTGCGGAGTGCCATTAGATACCTCCGGATATGGGAACCTGGGAGTTTGAACCTTTCCCTCTCTCTTGCAATTTGAGATCTAGAAAAGCAAGTCGGACAAAATAATGTGTGTGTGAAAAATGACAAAGGCGTTCCCATTAAGGTATTGATCATTTATTCTTTCTTCTCACTAATCTAGTATATTACCAACATAGCAGAAAATATTGAGGTAGACACGGATTCCCTGGGTAGTGGATAGAGCTGAAGTGCTTGGCTAGTACATGAAAGATGACAATTTAAATTTTCCCTGGAAGAAAAGCGAGGCGATTTGCTCCGCCAAGGTCACAGCCATTGAAAGCCCTCTGGAACAGCTCTGTTCTGGAACACGGGGTTACCATCTTCCCAAATCTACTGGTTTGCTGGGTTAGTGACGGCATCGGAAATGAGCGATACCAACTTTCCAAACCACACCTGGCCCACACCTCTTTGGGGGATATTGATGTAACTCTTTCGTGGGCCCACTTCTCTGAATAATCCCTAACCGTAATGAAAGAGAGTGGGATTATATCAGATTCTCAACTTGCAGTGAGGGAAAGAAGCAGTTGGCAAAAAAAAAAAAAAGATGAAAAACCACTGCAATAAAAGATTCCAATACTAGAAAGGTGTTCAGAAACATTTTCTCCTAACAAGCAAAACACATATGAGTTTGCTGATAATTTCTATTATAATCCTTTCTTGTAGAGTAAAATATGATGTAATAACTTTTTGGTTAAGGACATAAACAGGAAAACCACAAATCTGTGAGTTCCCTTATAATTCTACAAGCAATGCCATTGACGAACGAATACCTGGCAATGCTGTCTTCTCAGATTTTGTCTCAGGATACGTGTCCTCCTATCCTAGCTAAACTTCCATGCTCCCTGACTTTTGATCCCGAAGAAGGTGAATGCAATGAGTATCCTTTCTCGGAAATGTGTGAGAAAACAGGATGCCAGAAGTCCAGGAGAATACAAGCCTTGGACCGATGGCTTTTGTTCCATTAGATGCACTTTCTCCTCACAGAGAGCTGTTCTTACGCTTCTCCTTTCACCTGCAAGGTCATCTGTTTACCGCGGGCCATTCACCAACAGCCCATGACCAAAAATTCTGACTTGTTTGGAGGTTGAGGTGAGAACTCATTACTCTCCCAACTCTAAATTGTTATAGCATAACACTATGCAATCTACACTTGATTACATGTGAACTTAATCTCAGCTGTCTCATGGTTCTTTGTCGTATGGCCTCAAGCAGAACTATGGAAGCAGAAATTAGTCCCTCCACCTCTCCTTCTTCCTATCTCTCCCATGCTTTTCTTCTTATCGCTATTATCTAATAATCTTTGTACCAAAAGTCTAGCAAAGGTTTGAATGCATGAAAAATACTTAGTCAGAAAACACTTTTCAACTATATGATATTCCCAAACACTGACTAGGTTTAAGAGGAGACCAAGATAAGCAACAATAAAAATATCAATAGGGCAGTCATAAGCATAAAGCTTTATCAAATCTGTGCCTCTGTGAAGGATAAATCCAATATGAAAATAAACATGCAAAGAGTTACATTTAGTACCGAGAAAAGAAAACACGTTGAATGGCTGGCTGTTATTACTATTATAATGAAATATTTGTCCATGGTATGTCCCTGTAGTGCATCCATAAAAAACTAACCAAAACAAACCTTCTGCCACAAGAAAAACAATGGAATGAACTTATGAAACTATTTCTGTAGTACATAGAAATATTTGCCAAGATAGCTTCCAAATGAATTATTCAGATGCACAGCAAGTAACATGAAAAGTAGAAATAAACATTTTACACAGGATCCCATTTTGTATGGAATTATTTTTCATATGGGTGGGCATGAAAAATGAATAAAAGTGCTAAAAAGGCAAGAGGAATTCAAACCATTTAGCTTAAAAACTTGTATGCAAACTTAAATCTCCATATTAAAGTAAACAGATCAATGTTTTCCCAAGTGGGCGAGTCTGCCTCTTGGGATGGAATGACCCAGGAGGTTGCAAGAGCAGATACCTATACTTTATCATGGACGATAGTCCAAAAGTTTTCAATTTGCAGGTGGGTGCTGAGTAATTACTTTTCCTGAAGAGGAGATGGATGCTAAGCCACCTAGTACTATGTGAGTGAACCTATGGAATAGAATAACTGCTGTCTGTCAGCATTTCATGATGTTAAGACATGGAGATGAAATCTTAGTCTCAGAGATAACTTCTGGATTCTAAGTTTTATTTGACAATTAATTTAAAGGTAAATTTTTCTTGGGTTAGAAAGAGTAATATATCATTTACTTTATTCCCACAACTCACATTTAAATAGAGCATAAAATGGAAAGCACTTAGAATTCATAAACCCGTAATTACATAACCTACATTTTGACTAAGTGTATTTTTGTGATGATATAATTTCAATAGAAATAACACATCATAAAACCATTAGCAACAAACTTTTAAATGTATACTCATTTTCCAAAATAAAATGATTTATAAACATAATTCATATATCAATTGTATCAAGCACATTTGTACATGTGTGGCCATCATCATTTTCTTTGCCATTGGTTTCCTTTTGCTCTCTCGGCCCCTACCCACCTCCCCCTACCCTCATGGTATCACTCTACTCCCATGACTGTTTCTGAGGGGTCAGTCTGTCTTGGATTCCATGTGTTGAGAGCTCTTATCTGTACCAGTGTACATGCTCTGGCCTCGCCGGGTGTGTAAGGTAGAGTTGGGGTCATGAGAGTGGGGGCAGGGAGGAAGGATTCAAGAACTAGAGGAATGTTGTGTGTTTTGTAGGTGCTACACTGCACTCTGGCTGACACATCCCTTCCTTGTGACCTTTCGGTGATGGAATGCCCAATTGTCTACAGATGGGCTTTGGTCTCTGCTCTGACCTCACTCGTTCACATCAGTATGATTGCTTTGCTTCTTCTGATGCCTAATATCTGATCCTGTCGATATCTCATGATCACAAAGACTGGTGTGCTTCTTCCATGTGGGCTTTATTGCTTCCCTGCTACATGGCCGCTTGTTTAACTTCATGCCTTTAAGACCCCCCCAGACACTATATCTTCAAGACTTTAAGATCCCAAGTGCTACATCTTTTAATAGCCAGCCACTATCAGCTTTATTCACATTTGTTTATGCACCCGTTTTATCTTTAGCAATCATGTAGGGAAGGTGAGCATCACAGAATGCCAAGTTAATAGAACAAAGTGTTCTTGCGTTGAGGGAGTACTTGAGGAGAGGCCCAATGTCCATCTGCTTCCTTAATACTTAACATGTAAATATATGTACACAGGCCTACATCCCTATGGTTATATATTAATATATTTACATATGTACATGCCTGTATTTATACCTCTATACATGTCTTTTGACTCCTAGTTCCTTCCTCTATTTGTGTACTCATTTTTAATGCACATTAAAGTAGTACAAAGAATTCTTCGTGTGCAAACAACATGACAAGATCTCCTATAGCTAATGAGAATAGAGCTGTTGGGGGCGGGGGGGGGGGGGGGGAAGGGTGCTTCCCTAACTCTCAAAACTAACAGAACTGTGAAATGTGATGGTAAGTCAAACAGTATTGCTACAGAATCTGAGAAACCTTTATTACACAAAAATACCAAAATGTGAGTCAACTGTTTCTCAACCTAGCCTCCATCTAGTTTCCATTTCTGGAAGCAGTGTTTCCATCTCTCTAGTCTAACATCTCTTTAGAAGAGCTGAACAGAATATTTCAAATGCCAGTTTAAGAAGACAAAGCAAAGCATTATAATGAAATGTGCAAAGACCTGGATTCAGAAAACCAAATGAGAAGAACATGCTCAGCATAGCTCAAGGTGACAGAACTGAAGACAATAGTCAAGATTCAAGTTGAAAACCTGAAAGGGCTGAATGATACAGGAAGCCTGGAAGGAATGCAGTCACTGTGCCAAAAGGTACGGGTTGACTGCAACCATTGTAAGAGGGAGCATAAGGTGAAGAACCAATAGGGAAAAATGCAAGCTGCATGAAGACATTAGCATACCCCCACCAAGACTCCAGAAATGGACAAAACACCAATTGAAATGTTACCATGTAGTGATGGAAGCACTCATTAGTCTATGGCTAATTTCTAAAGAAATTTGCAACCTGGGCAACTGACTGGGAGACATCCATATTTGTGCCATATTTATGAGCTTTGTATAATTTCATAAAGCAGAAAAACATTTTGAAGTGTGCTTTATGCCATTTATCAAAATTCTTTGTTATTTAGTAACATTAATCAGTATCTGAAGGCAGTAGTGAAAATCAAGGCTCAACGAATTGACAGAATATCAATTGATATGTTTCAACAAATAATGCAATTCAGGAAGCACTCACTTATTTCTACAGCAAGAAATTTGATAGTCAGCTGCCTGGTCAACTAACTAGAGGAATATTAATACTCATTAAAAAGAAAGGTGATCCAAAAGAAAGCAGATATTATTGAATAATATTGTAAATATCACATGCAAGTACATTTTTGCTAAAGGCAATTCCAAAATGGTAGCACCAGTATAACGACAGGGAGCTGGCTGCCAGAGATGGAAGCTGGGTGCAGAAGAGCACGGGAGCCCTTTTCTATTGTCAGATGGCTCTTGGCTGAGAATACCAGACAGGTATTTACTTGTGCTTTCTAAACTATGCAAAGGCGATGCCTTTGTGGATAATAACAAACTGGGAATAAGCTTGTGAAGAATGGGAATTCCAGAATACTTAAAGGAAGTTCATGGGACACCCATACAAAGACCAAGAGGCAGTCACTGGAACAGAACAAGGAGACAGAGTATGGTTTAAAATCATTAGACGCGTGTATCAGGGTTATATCCTCTTACCATACTTGTTCACTCTGTACGCTGAGGACACATTTCCAGAAAGGGGGCTATATGGAGAATGTGGCATCAGGATAGGCGAAAGGCTCGTTAACAAGCTGTGATATGCAGATGACACAACCTTGCTGAAAGCAAGGAAGTCTTCAAGCACTTGGTGATGGAAATCCAAGACGGCAGCCTTCAGTATGGATT